CACATATTTATATAGACAGATGGAAAAAAACAGCACAAGTTCCTCTTTGTTCTGTCAGTAAGACTGAACATCTGTGGCTATATAAGAAAGTAACCTAAATTTGTCAAGTTATGTCTCTTGCCAAAGAGGTTGTGAGATCTTCATGTACCACAGCCTAAAAACATCCTGTATGAAAGTAAAAATGTATACCCTTGCCTGACATTTTAATTCAAATGCTCAGCTTTCGACTTAAGTCATGTTTATATTAAGTTCCTTTACAAGACAGCAGCACAATTCACACACAATATTCTACACATTTACCTGTGTAAAAAATGAATAAAATTAAGTCTGAAGCACTCTTGCACTGCCCCCAGTATAAACTTTTAAATTTTAAAAAAGTAATTTGCTTCTTTTACATTCCTATACTCTCATTCCCAGCACCCAATCTGTGTTTTTGGCAGATATTACTCATACTGCAGCAAAGCAGGGGCCAACAGGTGGCAATACAGAACTGCAAGGCTGAATGTGTTGTACAACCACTGTATGACATTACATAGGAAAAATAAAACATTGCATAAATAACACTGGACAAATAAAACTGCACTGAAAAACTCAGCAAAATGTACTTGTTGGAATCAAAAGACACTATTTTATAAGGAAAATACAATGCAGGAAGTAATCTTACAAGAAAAGTATTTTCGAGGCAAAGCAAGGGTGGAAAGAGTGTCTGCAAATTAGAAGGGATCTGTGACTAATGTAAATTCAAAGTTCTAAGAAGGTAATTATGTGCATTTTACAGATAATGCTTGTGCTTTCTAACTTTTTGTTTTTTATTCAATCCTGCAAGAAGTGCACTTCCAATCTATCTTGTCCCCCTGGTAAACACATTATGTATCAAAAGTGTGCTTGTTATTGTTCTTCCATTTTCTTCTCTAGTCATGCTGATGCTGTCCTTGCATATTACCTGCATGCTCCACCCCTTTTTAGCCACTGAGCAGATTTAGGTAAATTACAGGGTCACCCATTTACAAGAAGGAACAAGATTCGCTGAGCACAAAACAAGAGCAGAAAGGGAACCCTCACACAGCTCTACCAAGGTAAAAGAAGAGTTACAAGACGTAGAAGAGTTCTTTGGCTTATCATATTAAAGTTATAAGATGGCACAGGGCGATGGACACAGGTTATTCAATTCAAGCTTTATTATACCCTCAGGGGACACTTGTCCAATACAACAAAAACATCACAAAGAACAGAGTACGCTGAAACGGTGCTTCAGAAGAAAATAATTATTTTGCTTTGTTTGAGAGTGAGATTAAAGAGAGAAGAAAATATTTCCTGAGTTACACTATGGGACACGTACTGTAGGTGTCTCCCAGATGAGAGAAGTATAACTTCACAGTGGAGCGGATGTGCCACACACTCCATATAGCCCTTATTTTACAACCCTGCTTTGTAGAGGACATTTAGGCTAATCTGATTTGCTATACTGATTTTGTTGCTTGTCTTCACTAATTTTCACAACCTATTACAACTCATGGTACTGATGTTCCCAAACCAACAAGTAAGACAGTTATAGGAAACAGGTCACTGACATAAAACTCTATGTTTTGAATGTTTAACTTCGCCATATGACCTTATTCATCTGGGCTCGGAACCTGAATACAATGCAATTCAGTTTCCATACGTTTGTGGTGTAGACAGGGAAAGGGTTAGAGCTGATTGAGCAGAGTTTTAAAATTGTACCATGCCACATGAAATTAGCAAGAAAAGCAGAAGTCTCAATAGAATTGCACACAAAGTATCACACTGATTAAGAAATATCCGATGATCAGTTAAATGTTACAAAAAAATAGATTTGCCATTTTTTGCATATGCAAAAAATTGTGTTGTGATAGTTGTTTAAGACTATGGTTATGTACAGTATTTTCTATATACAGAACAGCCTATAAAGCACATAAGCTTTAAATACAACGCACAATACTTCTTGAACATGATTCATCCATTTTCTAACGACTGCTTCCAATTCAGGGTTGCGGGGGAGCAGGAGCCTATGCTGGCAGGGTACGCAACGCCACTACATCGTAGGGCAAACGGAGAAAAACACAAACACACACACAGAGCCAATTTTCCCAGAAGCAAATTAACCTACCAGCATGTTTTTGGACTGAGAGATGAAACCAGCACTCCTGGAGGAAACCCATATGAATGCTGGGAGAACACACAACCACCCCAGGTATGGAACTGAACCCAGGTCCCCAGTGCTAATGACTGCAGCACCATGCCATCATTCTTGAATAGGATATAAATCTTAAATCTAGGGGATGTTGGCACATACAGTATATATATATGCCATTGCAAAAAAACTGTTGAGAACTGAAAAACAGATATTATATTTTTAAAACCATTGTGACCTTTACATTTAGTGTAATTCTTTACTATATAATTCAAAACTATTTATTTACGAATTCTCTCATACAAGATTTCAAGTATATAGTGGACAGGCTTTCCTGGTTCTTCATGGAAGAGCAATTCATGGCACAGTTCTGTGTTGACTCTTGGAAGGTTTACATGATTGTACATGTCTGTAGTTGAACTAGTACTGCCTTAACATCTAACTATGCTCATAATTTGTATGCTGACCTTCATCCCTTCTGCTCTGGCGCGGCAACCCTTAATCATCTCCTTAAAACTAAAGAAATCCCACAGCTACAGGTTTTCTACATGCAATAGTGCAAGGTGCATCCTTTATCAAATGGTCAGTATTAGAGTATTTTTTACATGACTGTAAAGAGAATCACCATGGTTTAAAACATAACTTCCAAGTAGGAAATGGCAATGTAGTTTAAACAAACAGGAAACAGCAAATTTGCATCTTGCAATGCTAAAACAAATATAATGTGTTAATGCTAAAATACACTATATTTCAAACTAAATAGGACTGATATAAGTGGAGTAAAAGAACTTTCCCATTTTCACTTGTTTACCATGTAAGTTTGTTTCTTAGTATGCCATAGACAGGATCACTTTTATCTTAATTTTACTTTACATTTGGATGTTTACTGGAGTTCAAGGATACAAGAAAACAAACATATCTCTTTCAGTACAGAAAGAGAACATAATAAAACTTTCTTTAACTGAAAAAAGAAACACCACAAATTTAGACAAACAGAAATAAACAGTAAATTACTCAGACAGTCCTTGTCCAAGCGTTAGTAAAGCCCTAAACCTACACTATATCAGTATTGTAAAAAAGAATATTTATTCATTTCACTTAGTCACTTGTTTTCCTGTGGCACCTAAGACACGTGTACATGCTTCAAGGGATAACAAAGGTCTAATGTCAAAAGGCTTGTACAAATAATTAAGTCAATTAAAATAAATAGTTTAATTTAATCATTCAATTTACAAAAGGACCTTTGACATTGTTATGAGAACAGATTTTGAATGATTTTCCTTCAGTCAGGCATTTTGTTCTCTTCGTTAAGAGATAAAAAGAGATTTCTTCTTTTATTTCAATTGCAAGATCAGGAACATATTATCTCTTCAGCATTTTTTTTTTTGCTGTGGAGACCATATGGAGATGTCAAGTCCTGCTCTGTTTCAGACACATTTACTCATGACCTGACAGCATCTGCATACCTTTAGAATAAACTTGGACACTGAATGCAATATCATCTCCTGTTAAAACAACAAACAGAGCCTTTTCCTGGCAAAAGTGGAACAGGATACCTTAAGGGATTACATTATACACTTATTCCATAAATAAACAGTGGTGCCTATGTTATTTCTACTTAAAAACCCATCGCACTCCACAAATGTCTTAATTGAGAGTCACTGGAGATCAAAATATATCATCTCAGTACATTTACATGTATATGATCTTTTACAGTTATAAAATGAATTGTCCAATCTCAAAAACACAGTAAATTTTAATATTGGCCAGTAATTTAATAAACAAGCAAATGGGAGTACTTAGGTTCATAGAGCTTGCGTAAACAGGTCATGAAATAATGGAATAAAGGTAAAGTTTACTTTACAGTATGCAATCCCCTTCAGAAATAATGTTTATCAGAAAGGCAAAAAGAAAAGTGTAACCAAAATATGCTAGGTGTGATATAAAATAAAACTAGCAAGACACAATAAGTATTACTTTGGTGACAATTTTGTCCCCACAGATCATTATTTGTAAAATATTAATTGACTGCAATATACTATATGTGTAAGGCACTGGCATGTTGAAATAGATGCAAGATATAAGAAAATTTTGAAAATCTATGTAAAAGTAACACACAGAGTGTAGCAGTTGTAAAAAGATCATCTGTTTATTTTAAAGCGATTTAAATTTAAAGGATATTTATCTACTTTTGCCAATAAAAGCTTTTTACCGGACTGCAGTAGCTTAGCCCAGATACTATAGATCTTGTGTAGCTATATCTGGAAAAAGGTTTTGCAACAGGCTATACTGATGAGCAATAGTGATTCTTAAACTGCAGAGCTACTTCCTCAGACTGCACAAGGTTCTTCCCATTTTTAGAAGCGTTCCGTTTCCCTTGAATTCCCCCTCAGTCCTAATGCTTCCACAAACACAAGCAATCAACTCCTTTTTACTTACTACCATTTTTCCACAGTGTAGTAATTTGCTATGCTCAATCATTTCAAATTGGTACCAGATACAATTGAAGCGGACTAACTAAATGTTAGTTCTTTCAAGCAAAGCATAAGATGAAGACTACATTAATGCTGAGTATTATCAATAAATCTCTATCAGGATTAACCTAATTCTTGCACATTTTATTCATAATGAAAGCTGAGTATTCATCGTGAATAAGGTTCCAACTATGAATCCGATGAAATTCTGTAAAGTACTCAAATGTTACTTTTCCACTCTTTAGGTACAATCAAAACAAGTCACTAATATAATTTTCCCATGGAAAATGATCCTTCTTGCACAAGGAGTCATTAACATTCCTTTCAGTAACCAAATAATCCATTTCTTTCAGGTTGATCTTAGAAAAACATACCTTCTCCTGCTTCGCAGCTCATACTTGTGGAAGAACTCAGAGGATACTGCAATGTACTGTAGATGATGTACACTTAAAGCAGAAGCATACAACTTCCCCAAAATAAAAAATAAAGAGGAGAGATTAAAAGGTTCTCTGAAGTCAGCAGATTAAAAATTCAGTATGCAGAAAGTGATTTCACCTCCTCTAAACACAACATACAGCCAACTGTCTGAAGTGCAGTCTGCCTTTCTCACATGCAAACGGCAAACAGATCCTATTTCTTTATCCTTCTGTAACTCTGGCTCCTGCGCAGGGTGGAGTTAATTTGCCAGCACATGCCTTTTTTCTTCAGTAAGTCATCAGATTGAAAGTAACGTCTTAAGGAGAACAGCAAGGAGGCTCAGCGGGCTTTGCCTTCCATTACAGTCAGCACAAAGCCTTTTCGACAGAGTAAGGAAATACATTAAATGGTTTCTTTTAAATTGCACTTCTCAGCAGCACTAATTAACCAGTTATCTGGCAATAGAGTGGCACCTGCCAATTTGAAATTTTCCAGGGTGTTTCCAAACTCTCTTAAGGCATCGAAAAAAGATGTGGTGGTATTTACTGCTATTTTCCTAGTTTAATAAGAGGAACCATGATACAAAATATATGTGTCTGTTAATACAGACAAGAAAACTAAAGTCTCTATTTCATCATAAACAATGTCATGGAGAGAAACCCTTTGTCCAATGACAAAATTCAATGAAGGTCTGGTAAATTTTCTTTTTTTCACTCAAGTGCATATTATTAAAATATTTCTGGATGTTCTCCCTGTCTTCACATGGGTTTCCTCCAGGTGATCTGGTTTTAACAGTTTTTCACAGTTCGAAAACATACTGCTAGGTTAACTGGCTTCTGGGAAAATTGTCATTTGTGTGTGTGGGCTTGTTGGTGTTTGTGTCCGTCTGCCCTCCAATGGACCTGTGTCCCATCCAGGGTGTAACATGCCTTGAGCCCGCTGCTTGCTGGGCTAGGCTCTGGATCCGCCATGACCCTGAAATGGAAAAAGTGGCTGGAAAATGGATGAATAGTTTAAATGACTTTGCCTTCACTTTGATTAAAATTGATGATGATGATGATGATGACGACGAGATGATTTCGCCTGAATGTAAGGGTAATCTAAATGCAATCCCTTGTGAAAATCGAAAAAGAAAAACACAGATAGGAACCAATATGCCACGCTTATGAAGAGAACAATGTCTGTAAGCCCTTAATATGGTGGAACAACACCTCAGCTCGCAGCACACTACAACAATAATCCAGCAGCAGAGTCAAGTCCTCTTTGTGATGAATCAAGGTTTGTACAGAATGTTTTGGTATTGAACTTATGGGCAATAGCTTGTTCTGCAGATGCACAGAATGACGCACTATTTTTTCTGGATGACAGACAAATCAATGGGAAATGTCAAGTGTTGGAGGGAAAAGGGAAAGAGCTTTGGCAAAAGGTTATGAACAGTGCTACGGTAAATATAAGACTGATCAATAAATATTTTAATGACATAAATTAAATCAGTCAAGACAGTGCTAACAGAATAGTTTTTATACACAGCCCCTCAAACAATTTAAGACGTCTTCATTTAAGATACAAAATTCTTATCAGCACACTGATTAAAAACAAAGTCTGAAGAAAGAGCAGCGTACGCAAGGGGAATAAAAAAAATACTCGTTCATATGTAATTTATTCCATTGATAATTATAGCTTTGTAATGACTGAGACTGACCAAAACGAAACTCTGTCAAAATCCCATATTTGGTATGGACTGTTGTCAGATTTACACTTTGTATGTCGTGCCTATTCTAGTCGGAACAGCCAGTAAATTTAATGGCATATTACCATAGTGTCAACAATATGGCAGAACCTACTGTACTCTATTCCGATACTGTGGTGGAGTAGGACCTACGCACACTAAAGACCTGTTAGTCGGGTCTTTGAACCGTTTACCCTTTACTGTATATTCCTAAACAGAGCATATCTCTACAGAGAACAGCGGGGCCAGGGTTCAGGCTGAACCAATCCTGATGTGATAAAATGACTTGACTTTCCCACACTAATCTGATTAGTAACCCACTTTGCCTACCTTCCTTCAGCCTGAACTGGCAGCTGAAGTTACTCCATCCACCACAGAGCTCCCATCTCCTTTCCTAGAGGAAACTGGCACCTCCGAGAGTGAACCTAGAGTAGCTAAAGTAAAGCTAAGAGTAGTCTGTCGGGAGAGCGAGCTCTGCTAACCCCCTCGTACATCTAGAATAAACCAATATCCACTGGGAAATACATTGACAATATAACTGTATATTACTTATTACACTCTAAGTCAAAACACGTGTGCTGAATTTCACTATGCACTTTGGTACCATCTTTTAAAACTGGTCTTATCAAGAGACTGTTCTCACTGAGACACGCCTTCTTCTGTGTTCTCTGTTTAAACATGACTGGAACTGACTGCATCAGATTCTCTGTTGCACCTGAATGGCTATGCTCCTTTTCTCTCTAAACTGCTTATAAGCCACCCTCCAGCAGCTTAAATGAGAACCACTGTTCAGAGAGACAGCTATTGCAAAAACACATTGGGCTGTTCTTAATATCTGCATGCAATGCATATTTGATTCAGAAAATAATCTGCAGAAGCCCAGAAAATATTTCATTTAGATGCAGAAAAAAAAGAGCAGATTAAAGGTGATGTAGGCAAAATGGCACAACAGAGGTCAGCTTTTCTCACCCTGCAGTTCATTTGCATTGAACAATTACTGTTGCAAAAACATTACCTTAAATGTATTGTGACTTTTTCTGTTACTCTTTCTGTGTTTGCTTCATTCCAGTTACTTCTGACTTAACAAACTCTCTTACTCTGACAACATGAAACATTTAATTGTAAACAACTACTACTGTCAGACAACTGGGTACTGTCAGCTACTAAGTTAACACCCTTAAATTACTTAGCCTGCTAGTTGACACTAGTTGAAATCTGACATATACACAAAAAAACAGTAATATTTACTCAACTGCAGGTGTGTAATCAATAGGAGGGTCACTTGATAAACACTTCTGTTTGTTATGTTAATCGATCAAAAACATTATGCAGTAGCATTTTCCCCCACTCTACTGTCAAAAATCCATTACTTAAAGTACACACACCAGAAATAGGGAAAACATAAAATAAATTATTCACAACAAGCAATGTAAATAAATGCCTTAAAATGCTGCACATACTGTATCTCAGCTGATACAGCATGTGTCTACTTTCAGAAATTGAGCATATTGCTGGAATTGCTCCTTGTATGCCCAGCAATATCAACAAAAAAATCTACCCCCAAGCCTTCGGTTTCTTGTAAAACTGTCAGTTTTTGTTGTTTTTATTGTTCTTTACCAGAAGAAATGAAAGAAGCAAAATAGTTTAAACATTATTTTAAGCATAATATTAAAGTACTATAACAGTATACATTATTATATTAATTCAGGTGGGTAGCTGCGTCAGCATGCATAGGCTGCAGAGGAACAAGTAATAGGTTTATTCCAGGCTGAAAAGAGAAGAAAGAAAACACAACGTTTCTGCCGTGGAGCCTTCTTCAATGGTCACTTGCATTCAGCCTTCACCTGTCACCTGCCACCAGCCTTCTTGACACCTGAAGAAGGCTCCATGCCTTTTTTTAGCATGGAATAAACCTGTTACTTCTTCCTTATTATATAAATGTCAACCGAAGAAGGCTCCACAGATGAAACGGAACGTTGTGTTTTTCCAATAATTATTATATTAATGTGTATCAAATGAATGATAGGCTGAATGAACTAAACCTTTTTACCTTTGAACAGAGAAAACTATGACGGGACCTGATCCAAGTATTCAAAATCCTCACTGAAAAAGTCAACACAGATTCTTCATAACCAACAGTGAAATGGTGAAAAACAAACCAAATACCACATGTATAAACTATGTGTCTGTCTGGTTAAAATTAATGCACTAGTCACTCACATACTGTAATACCGACACATATTAAGACAAGGATAAACAGATAAAAAATCTTATGTACTGTAATTATGACTCATTTACCATAATGCTGACTTTTTCAAGACAGGAAATATAGAAGCAGTACTGTTGGTTAAAATGAAACATTATGACAATGAACTAGATACCTATCATCAAATATGGTTATTGCATTTTAACATGCAACGCAAAGATTCTTGTGCAGTGAGTACAGTATATCCTTTTGTCAGCATTTACAACTCCTTGTTTAGTTGCTAGGCCTAATTATTGACCTAGACAATACCTAGGTGAATCATTTCTTAAACATCACAAAGTATCATGTTGAAGTGGTAATGTTAGTCTGACACGCCTTTTAGGAAAATCCAAACTACCTTCAACACTTCAGTTGAAGAATAGTTTTTAACTGTTTTCAGACACGTTCACAGCTATCAATTTTTACAATACCTAGTGCAAAGTGAGCAAGGAGACAACAAAGTTGAAAGACGTCTTTGAAAAGTATTAATACCTACAGTAAGTGTAAATATAAATAAATGACCATAATTATATGTTTAATTATTTTATTTCACCAGTAAAGTTGAGAACAAATAATTGTTTGCATGATAATGGAGAACAATTCAATTGCAATTACATGAATCAGAGTAAGAGTATTCTGAGTGGTGTATCTTGCTCAAGGGTATATTGGTACCATTTAGATAAATTCCAGTATACATTTATAAATTGTGTAAAAGACACCTAGCTATTTGTAGAACACCTGCAGAAAAAGTAAACTACCATACATTATAAAATTGATCAGAAAATATTCTAAACAATACTTTCAGGAAAACAACTGTATGCAGGTTGAAGCTTGAAAAAGAATGACATATAATGCATATTGTATAGCAGAGCCACATTACCCAATAAGGGGATTAGAATAAATCTAACAACTCTGATTGCAACACAATGAGACGCAGAAAGCAGGTTGAAAAACATTTGATTTCATCGCGTGAAATTCCCAGGTACTGTATCTGCAGTGTGACTTTCCTCCGTAAGAGGGAGACATTGTTCAAATAAAATTAACTGAACCTCAATTTTGTGGCCTTGTATGTTTTTCATGGTATCATTTTACATTATTCAAAAGTGAAATTGCAGAGTAGAAAATGATTTCCAAGATCTATTACCATTACACATTGGAATTTTCATAGAGAGAGATGTGACAGGTATGGACATGAAGGAGATTATCTTGCTTAGCCTGACAATTTTTGGGATGGGGACAATAGA